AATGGCTCATGTTTACCCATAAGCAGTCTTTATTATAGGGACCCGCAAAACAGGACCCCTAATTTTGGGAAACCCCCATATACATCATTCTGCGACTTTCTTCGAAACCTAGATTGCATCATGCTCCTGGACTTTGGGGCGTTTGAAGGGCCCTGACCATGTGCAATCCAAGCGACATCGGTGTGCCTCATGCATTTTCGGCATGGCACGCGAGCGCAGAGATAGAGCAAAGCCTCTTGAAACTCAGCGTCAAAGGGTCGGTACTGTGTGGCTGGCGATCTCGGGTATCTAGATAATCTAGAGAAATGCTGCTGAGTACCGGCTAACAACTTCGAACAAGTCCTGCTCAGCCTCTTGCACCGAAACCTTCATGAATTGATTGGGTGAGCCGAAATGAAATCTCAAGAGATTTTAGTCGCGCGGCCCCTCCATCCGTCCATCCGGCCCGGTCCTTCAGCTTCATCTATCTCTCTTTGGGGGCGCGTATTGCAAAACTTTTGTTCTCCGTCCCGGATCGTCTATACGCTCCATCGAGCAGCCGCGCAGAAAGCCTAAGAAAAATAAATCATGTGGGAGACCGCTCCGGAGGCAAGGGCAATCTCCGAGATTTTTGGTCGCGCCGCCCGCGCCAAAGGTCTCGAAGATTTTAGAGCATCTAGCCTTTCCCAAGGGCTTTAAAATCTCCGAGACTTTAGAGCCCTTAGGGAGCCCGCAGGAAGCGTTTTAAAGGTGAGCCGGGAAAGTTAGGCCGCGCGCGAGCGAAATGGCCGCAAGTGGCCGCGCCCCATTATGGAGGTATTTATTCCTAATTAGATATGATATTATTTTTTCCATCCCATATATTCAAAATGAATAATACCCAGGGAAGGGGACAATATATTCATATATCTCGATTTTTTCTCCCACATTTCAGAATTTATGAATTCATCTATTTTGATATTTTGAATCGAATCTCAATTTTTTCTAGAGCAACAAATTATAATGGTCTTCTGCAAGGAATTAATTCCTTAGAGGCACGTCATGATGATTTTGAATATCATTGAATAATTATCTTCTTGCATATGCAGGCATCAGGCGGGCCAGAAGCAGTTTTGCGCATTCGCCTGCATTGGTTCATGCCCAAACGGCCGAACCATCCAGAACTTGCTATCATCACAGATCTAGCAGCAGTGCTTGCCAACGGCTTCGTTTTCAACAACAGAAAGCCTGACAGGAAATACAGGAGATTTTGGATGCTGAGATGCCTCCAAATTCCGATGTCGATGCTTTCTCGCGTCAGAAAGCATTGCTAGCTTCGGCGGTGGCTTCGCCAAAGAATCAAAGGACAAAACCCAACAAAATCTTAAGAGAGAGCTCTGCTGTCTAAACATGAGACACACGGCTTAGCCGTTCTCTGAAGTAGCCTCCCAACAGTTTGTACTGCAGCTACCGCATAAAAAGTCCGGACTGTGTTCCGCATAGTCCGGAAGACAAGCCTTCTACATAAGCCCTTGAAAATTACCAGTCTGGTTACAGACCTAATGCTTGATTCAGCTGATGGTTGCTGCCCAATGTGGCGCGCGGCTGGCCGCTTCAAAAAATCTCGTGCACCAATGGACTTGACTAGTATGCAGCCTCGGGAACTGGCTGGGGAGAATTCGCAGTGTCACTGAGAGCTTTTTGTGCTTGCTTCCCAGCGTTGCTGTTGTCGGCTTTAGGTTTGTCAACCCCTGACTAACTAGCCTCGCCTCCTGAATCAAGCCTATACTTGCAGGACATGGGCAGACGATACTGATGGAGTAAAGCAGTTTGAGTCATAGATGGTCTTAAGCTTCGAGTCTACGCCCCGAAAGCCTCAATCCAAGAAGTCTGAAAGCCTGGATTCTTTCACAGCTGAGCTCCCAACGCTCTGTACCTCGTCAAATTCGGAAGAAGGACTCTTCCGATAAGGCGCTTGCGACAGCAGTTCCGTCTGCCTCTTGCACTTCTTCACCATCCTTTGGCTGAGCTGGAGGCCCCAAACAAACCCGTGTAAATCGCGGCTTATGGAACATGGCTATAGTCCTATGAAGCCTAGACATCCATCATACCGAGTAAGGAACACCGTTTGCAAACAATCCCAACGTCCCACCCATTTTAACATATCTGACGGGAGCTTCACGGTCCTTGTAACTCATGCAACCCGTGGTGTGTCCATCCCTTGCGGAGGATGGTGCGGTGTGCGGGCTGAGATGGCAGAGCCCGGATGCATCCGTGAATCTGTGTCATGTTACTAAGCAACATCTCCTCAATCATCCTGACCCCAGTTTTTGAATCCCGAAGCCATAAACTAAAGTTCCACCAAGTGTCAGACCCCTCCGCTGCTGCCTGCGAAGATATCTGCATGCTCCGTCCCTCCTCAGGCTCCGTCCCGGGAAACGACCCAGGAATTTCAGGAAGCCAGCTGTGATTCAATCAAGCTATCTGCTATTATGAACAGCCACAAGCTGACAGAAAAGATGCGTAGTAGTTCAACATTTTCTTCTCGTGCCCACCAGGGTACCGTAGGCTGCTGACAAGCCTGCGCAACCAGCGTGAACACTAAACCCTGCCAAACTGGACAGCAAACTCCAAACCAACTCCATCCTAGGCAGCCCGAAAAGCTAGCCTTCGGCGATACAACAGCAACAACCCAACTCTCCTTTGGAGTTCCGCCGATCAGGACGGATCTACGACAAGAACCTGCACTGGCTGTAGCATTCTTGCGTATGGTCAATTTGGCGTGTAGGATGCAAGGTTTCTTATCAGAGACATTGGGGTGGGCACCACGGGCCCGCCTCAATTAGAGAAAGGGCACAAAGGTATTGCAGGATTTTGGAAAGCCACACATGGAAAACCACATGGAACATGAAACAGAACGGACTAATGAGGGTTAAGGGTAATAGCAAGAATCAAATTGATAATTGAAATTGAACATGAATTTGAAATCTAGGGGACTACAGGGGTTATACAAGGATTCTATGGGGGATTATCACCCCACGCAGAATGGAGAATCAAATGGACAAGAAAATTGAAAGGACATGGAAACTGGAAATATTTCCCCACGACAAGAATATAAGTCGTACAAAGCGATGATGTAAAACTGCAATGATATGCCCAGGCACACAGATGTCGAAGTCCAAAAATCACGCTGCATACGATCATGCCCCCAAGCAGATACCTTGACTGTTCTTGGAATCCTGGCAAACTGGCAATGCTATTTACTCGGTAAGTGCCACCCAGAAATCCACATTTTGGGTAATAAATTCGAAGCTCTCTACATATTATCCCTGCCACCTGTAGTCACACGTAGTAATTCTGCTGAAAATTCTCAATCAACCAATCCTGCAAAGGCACAATCCTAAACTCATAAACCCAGATACAAGCACAGCGCATGCTCGGGAGATGTCCATTCCCTTGGAGTGATGAAATTGCTGACCTGGGGTATGAAGCTTTAGGGTAAGTAGTGCACGCAAGGTGCGTTTATGATGGGTCTTTGCCAGGGAAGTAGCCTCCACACAGACTGAAACAAAGCTGTCCCAGGTTTCGGAGGTGTAGGTGTTCAGGAACAAAGTGTGTTTGCTTAGCTGCTCCTTCCAAGAAAACACGCCTTGTAGGGCTAACTGTTCTTAAAATGTAGAATAATGACATGACCACCAAAGGCATACTGCTGAAAAGGCTGGCGACCACAAAAGCCATGACGACTGTCCCGCTGATTACGAACGTCGCCATTGCTTGGCAAGCCACCACTACACACCTGCACCACGGCCGGCTCCACCATGGAATGCTAGCATTTCCTCAGCTCGGCCTGGCAACCTGGCAACATACTAAGCGTGATGGCTTCTGAAGTTTGACGTAAGAAACGTTCCAAAAACACGGCCCAGTTTCCCAGCAGCAGAAGGCAACGGATGAAAATTGGCATCCAAAATAATATGTACAGCGTCAGGCCAATATTTCTGACTGGGCTTCCCCATTGCCAAATGAGAATAGCTCTCCGCCCCTCATAGGCAATGAAGTCGTACATAAATGGCCAGGAGCCCAAGGCAGCAGCAGACATCAGCGGCCGCATCAGCATAGCGCTGTTTGTGAAGGCCTGCTCAACGGATGGTCTCAGGTGCCTGTCCAAATGGCGTTTGAAGGCGCGTTGGATTTGGTCATCAGTTGCCATACCCGCCTGAGCACTCCCAGACCACATCTGCAATACACCGTAAATGAGTTGCCGGTCGCACTGGATTGGTGCTCCGTTTGACGGGTGCCTGTGGTTATGGGAGCAGCAGAAGCATTGCGCGGTCCGGATGTCGAAGTCTCGTAATTGTCCGGGCAGCCGCGCCATGTCGTGCAACATCTGATTCAGGAGGTAGAACAGGGGCGGGTACAGGACAACAGTCTGAAGCAAGATCATCAGAGCTAAATTGATTTGTCCGCTCGTCTGAACCCAGTTGAAATATTCTACACCGTATCTCTTTGCGAGCAGGTAGGACAGCCACGTGGTCGCTGCAGAGAAGTAGGCAAGAACCCAAATGATGGAGATTTGCCTTTGGGCCAGGCAAATGTTGGGAAAAGGGCTGAAATATTTTCTGGAGACCCTAGGAAGAATGCACACCAGTTGAAGTCTTGATTTAGACAGGCAAGCTGCACGGGCAAGAAGTGGATTCGATGAGCTTCCTTGCGATGCATAAGGAAGCAAGCGATCTCGTACCTGGCTTGCAAGACAAGCGCTGCTCATGATGTTGGGCTCAGGGCCAAGAATAATCTGCTGCTCTATACCCAAGAGACAAAAGCGCGTGCGATTTTGCTTGTTGCTTAAAGCTTGAAGGGAACAGGCACACCAACAACGTCGCCCTCGTGGGAAACGTCACCAGAGGACCCTTACACTTGTCCCAAATGCCTACTTCCCTAAATCCAAGATCACAGAAAAGCCTGCGGAGACGCCGGGAACGCAATGTTATACTGCTGACTTCCTCAAGTATTCCGCATTGCTGCAAGCGGGCGGCGTGCACCACAACCTACTGAAATACCTCGGCGACCACAGAACAATCAGGTCATCAGACTTGTTCAAGAAGGAAGCCAGGCCATAGATACATTGAGACTTCTTCTCCGCATCATCCTGAGGTATGCACAAACCTTGGCTGTTCTTTGTCTACACATTTTCTCTCTGCCCACGGTGTTGAAAACCGAAAACACTATGTAATTAAGTCCAGAAGCGATCGAGAAAAGTCAAACGTTGCTGCCACAGCTCGCGTATGTGCTGCCAAAATACCCTGGGTTCAAGCTCTCCAACGAACATCTCGGGGTTCTCTTTAGGGTCCTGTGGAAAAAAACCATTGTAGAAACCCAACAGGATACCGAGTTGCAGAACTGAGCCCTCTGACACGAACCATAGAGACTGTACCTAGCTCGGTATGCTCTAACTTCAGGCCAGTTGCAGCATGAAAAACCCGATCGCATGCCCCAAGACCATCCACCAAGCAGTGTAAGGTAGGAGCCATCCGTCAGGCGTGTCTTCGCTCCTAAGCCGTTTTTGGCCGAGGCTTTCAAGAGTCTAGGCTTTGACGACTTCTGAGGGATCAGGGATTAGCCTAATTTCTACGCAGTTTTGGGTAAGAAACGTGGATTCCCTACTGAGTATCAGTTTTCCCGTGGCCATATTGAAAACAACCAACTCCTCGGTGTTCGCTGCCAGCATTTGAGAACAACTCAAGATCTACAATGCCGCTGGTTCTATCATCTTCTTTGACTTTGCTTGCAGGAAGCGCAAATCAAACCTAGCCTCATCGTTTGCATCAGTACACAGTCCTCAACTTAATAGATGTAGGCAGGTTTCAGGCAGGTCTTATCGTAACCACCTCACCTTGCCACTGAAGAAGTAGCTAGATGCTGTCAACAATTATCTTGAAAGGACGTCGGACTGATTGTACGCTCTTCATTTCAAGTGTGGTTCTTTGCAGGGTTATCGCTTTCGCGGGTACTTCTTACTAATATTCAATGGCAAGCGTTCTGTGAAGATGCAAGCCATGAAAGATTGATAGCCATGTCTGGATGTTCCAGCCTCATGCTTTTACTACCCCAGCGGACCTTCACGTCTGCGGCGTGCGCAATGGGCAGCAACATCGTCTTTTTGGCATATCTAGTGGTCTACTTGCTCTTCATCCGCTGCCATGATGCAGATTCTGGCGCTTTATGAGAGTGACTTCTTCCCTTTCTGCTTGGCTGTCCTCCTTGTTTGTGAATGGCAGTTCCTGCAGTCAAAGTAAAGAAGATGATGAACTTGCACCGATTATTGTATGCGAGGCATTTTGTGAAAGAGATCTGGAGTTGCTCTTACGCCCGCCTTCGCTACCTTGGCAGGCGTGCCGTCGATCTGCTTGGCCCAAAGCTGTGCAAGCCTAATGTTTTGCGCTATTTGTTTTTTCTAATTGCCAGCGAGGCCTTTGCAGATGCAGGAAAGAACTGCTGGCGCGTGCAGGCGATAGTTGTGCATGTTCGAGCGTGTCGGGTTCTTGTTTGATCCCTGCCCAGACCGGAAAGACATGCAGTCGTTAGAGCATGCCAGGTCCGGAAAATCCATGCTCAAAATAAGACTGCATCCAAGGTCCCCAGCACTAATGCCCAAAACACAAGTACGTCCAAAGGGGACGAATGTGCAGAAATACGAAAATCCTGCTGTGGAAGACTTCCACAGCATTTCCAGCTTGAAAAGCCAGATCGGCTTACGTCGGGATGTGCGGAGGTGAAAGGTAGTGCTTATGAAGTGTGGCATGTGCGTGTGGACTAAGTCGCACGTTGCTGCAGCGCAATTGGTTGTCTCAATGCCTCGTCGAAGTCGAAAGCGGAGTCGGCAACGCATGAAACTGACCCATAGGCTGTCATGCTGTAAGACCATTGGACCGTTTGACCAACACCCGAACAAGTTAGGCACACTGATCCAAGGATCTATAGGTGCAAGATTCCACGTGGCATTGCTGCGACCAATTCAGCTTGAACAGCAAAAGACTCTCAGAACCATATGAACTCAGCGGACAAATAGGAGCCAGCCCTCACTAAGAGAGCTGTCTTCCTTCATAAGTTGCTGAGTTTAGGGTATGGCAGTTCTGGCCCTGCAGGTGTGCTGCGTTTTCGGGGCTGAGGTCTCGAGTTCGAGGAGTAAACCCCAACAGAAGAATCTGTAAGGCTTTACATTCTACATTATCAGGTCATGCGCTTCCAACTCTTGCATCTCACCTTCTCGCAGATTACAAGCGGAGAGAGGACAAGGAAAAGTACGAAGTTCCCCGCTGCATAGCCAAGCCCGTGACCCAAGTACTGAGTCCTAAGCCCCAAGACCCTTTCGGAACCAACAATCCTGAGCCATGCCGGGTTGCCATCCTGCAAGGAATCCCATAACAACGCTGAAGAGACATGTTGCCTCGGCTGCTTGCAAGACCAGTAAACACAAGTATAGGCTTACGATTTTGGGAGAACATTTCCTGAGCTTAGACAACAACTTGCACACGCGTCAAAGTTATGGCCCCTTCTAGGAGCTGGCCATACAGAGCATCCTGCGATGTTGTGGGACGCATTACGACCCTAATTTCAGCAAACACCGCCAATGAAGGCTCGGGGTTCGGGATCTGTGTGGTTTACAGTGCTCAGGTTTACGGGTTGAGGAAACATTCCCAATCCTCAACGTAGCCAAGTTGCTGTTGCTGCTGCTGTGCTGTTGAAGTAAATCAAGATGGACAAATATTTCATCCATCTGACAATGTGAAAGGCTTCCGGCTCAACAGAAAGGGTTCAGGCTTGTTCGTTCGCTGAGAGCACTAGGTATGGCCCCTTCGTAACATGCTGACAGCCGTCTTGAACTGTCCTTTCGGCTTGGGGATATGGATGCTAACAGACAAACATCTTGAAAAACAACCTGTTGAGAAGATTCTCTTTGTTGTAGGCCATGGCATACTTCCCAAATACATTCTGGCATGCAAAAAGTTGTTGGAAAACCTCACCTCGAGGTTCTCCAGTCGTGACCTCAGGTGCTCGGCTTAGGAGGTCCTTCTAAGGGTGTGTGTGTGTGGGGAGCCCAAAATGGGAGATTGGAAGCATTTTGGATAAATTGGTGCCCACCCCTCCCCCCCCCCTCCCACCGGCTCCCCTCCAGAATAAGAAAAGTACGCTTCTCAGCATCCCTGGAGCTAATCCCGAGCCACTCCTAAAGCCTATGCCATGATCAGCCCAGCGTCTGAAGAACAGCTTGTACCGCCTTGTCTGCTGGGATAATTCTGGCCTCCACTCTGGCGGTTCCGGTCCGATAGACCTTAAGGCTGAGGGTTGAAAGTTTTCATGGTTTGGTGCATGAGGTTGCGGCGATACAGACCCGTTTACAAGGGTAGCATGGAGTTCAGGGTTTGGCTTCCTCAGCGACATGACCTAGCTTCTACTACGGTGCCCCGGGGGTCAAAACATGTGAAAACGAAATTCAAATTGGAGAAATGAGAGGCTGTCGCCATTCCCTCCCAAAACATCTCAGGACCTGAGCTGCTCAGTAACCTCCGGGAACAACACGCAAGGTTTGAAAACTATGGATCTTAAAAAGGAACCCGTCAAACAGATAACACCTCCTAAACGGCCCCAAGACGTTGGCCAACGGCACTCCTCGCACCAACTCGGGTGCCAAGTCAACCAGCAAGTCTTCTGACTTCCTGGCCGAGCTTTCTGGAGGCCTGTCAAGATTGCTTTTCTCTCTGCATCCGCTTTCAATAGGTGTCTGCGAATTAGCCGGTATCATCCCGTAGCTGTTAACCGCGAGAACGCTGCAATACCCCGCCTGGCAAGTCCTAATGCCGGAGATGTGATATGGATCGAATCGAATGTGTTGCCTTTTGCCGCATCCGGACTCCAACGCTCTGCTCCATCGGTAGACTGTATGTGCACATCGGATGCCTCCGGACAATTCACTTCAGGGTTCGAGCTTTAGACTTCAGTCTCAGGGTTAAGGATTTCATTGACTGTGCTTTACAGTTCTCACCCAGGGCATGCCTCGGGACCAGCCCAGAACTCAGAGTCGGAATGCTGGCAAGGCAGTCCCTCATCTGATGTGGAACCACCAATCATGGCGTGCTGTCTTGGACCGGACGTCTTGGATCTTGTGTCCCCACGCGGGGTGTTTTGAAAGGGCTTTGCACCTTTAACTTGCACATGAGACCATGCAATCTGGACACAACTGTTCCTGCTGCTCCGACAAGTTGCCCTACTTGCTCTTGATAATGCATGATTTTGATAAGCTTGGCTGGTCCTACCCTTGGTACAGCCCTTTCCATTAATGAAGCATAGTCGGTGCCTTGCAAGCCGAAGCGCGAGCGAGCCCAGTCTCGCTGAATACCCACATGAACGAAAGCCCAAACCCTGAACCCGTCAGACCCTCATCTCAGAAGTTACGAGGTGCCGGTGTTGCATGATTCTTGGAAGAATCTGGGGACGCAAGCTGCAGGTTGAGGCTCGGAGCTTAGGAGTTTAAACGTTTCATGCTTGCCCAGGGCCACCCCCAACCCGGAGGTAAACTCCTTAAAAGGCTTCACTGGGAGATGGCTCAGGGAACACTTTCACGGTCAGTTGTCATTCCCGTGTGCAGCCGCAGCTGGCAGACTTGTCAGAAGCTTTTAGGGAAGTAGCGCCTTGCAACAACAAAAACAGATTCCGGAAATGCTGAAGGGTACGACTAGGGGAGGTAGCATTCGATGGATGGGGCCCGGGATCTTCCGACGGCATTTAGGCTACCAGCAGTACTAGGCGGAGCCTCTTATACGAGAAGCCCGGAACTTTACATCAGGTACGCATGGTATGCATACGCCCCCAGGCACAATCAAAGCCTTCGTTATTTCTGGTTTTCCTGCTTTTGGTGTTCAGAAAATTTCATAGCTCCTGCGAGCTAGGCATGTGGTAAAAGGCAAAGGGCCGGAGATACCTGCAACTCAAGCAGGTTTGGGGTTCAACGGAGAGACGAACAAGTTCTGTAAGCCCTTCCAGCGGCGCACGACTTCCGCCCTTCTTAGCGAGACCAGCGCTTGGGCGAGATTCTTAATTGAAGCTATAATTTAGTTCACATGAAGATCTCCAGCCAACGCAACCTGAAAACAAAACCTTTAGCTGGCGTCCTATGCAGGCACTGGTTGTACTGAGACGCCTTCCTCGTCGTCAGCTCCACTGAGGAACGTGCGGTGACACAAAAGGCAAGCGTCAGCGCACGTGAACACTCAAAAGCCGAGAGCGGTCACGCTCACATGTGCAGATCTTGAAAAGTCCCCTTTCAACTCCTTACAAGATTGCCTGCAATGCTTACTGCCCTAAACGCAGCGAGAGTACTTGCACAAAACTACAAGCACTAACAGTGAAAGCTAGCGCACTACCAAGGGTTGCTGCCAGGAGTCATACCACACACGCTCGGACACCTACTTTTTTACGGAGGCGCCCACGAGTCCGATTACGGTCTGCGAGATCTACTGCGGTCTTGGCGTCTGTGAGGGTGGAAGCGCCACGACCTGTCTTGGAGGCGTCAACTTGCGACTCATGAAGGACCCGGCATGACTGCTGAAGCAGCAGCTGTTTCCCTTTGCATGAGACCAGAAAAGGGGCGGACAATGAGGCAGGGGTTCAGTTGGGCAGCTTTCCAGAAACACCTTTTATCCAGCTATGATTTTGCACGCGTGCCAAGGGCGAAAGAAAGGACTCTGCCACGGTGCCCCACCTTGTGGAGGCTTGAATTTTGGGCAAGTCCATGAAAATTGCGTCTCATTATCTCCTCAGCCATTGCTGGTCTTGCTGCGCATCTCTCCTGCCTTCACCACCGCACCGCGTCACTGTTCTGCATCACAACTGAGCCTGACCCCCGCTGCTAATTTGACATAGGAACGAAGATGCGGTGAGCTGTCTTGTGAGGGGGTTGTAACTTTGAACAAGCAGGTAGTGGACCCCGAGTACTACACCATGCATGGCTGCAAGTCAAAAGGCCGCACCATAGACACCCCATCATCTGGAGCTCATAGAGCTGTCAACCGCAGTTCCAGGGGGCCCCTCAAGGCACGGGAGATCGGCCATACCACATATAGGCAACAGCCCAGAAAGACGGACCCTTGAGGGCGACAACTTCTTACTACGACTTAGGACTATGTATGCAAAGGCTCTTAACAGGTAGTAACCCGCATTCAAAGGACTTACTCACTATGTTCACAATTCGTCTTTGCAAGCTGCCTCTGTGCATCTGGCGGCTGAGTTCCAGCGCCTCATAAACAAATTCTATGGGCGGACACCGCCCCAACATTAGAGACCACAAACCATTTCATGGTCTTTTGGTACGCGCTAGTCACTAGATTTATTAACTTATTATCCGCAAAGGGGTTTCACATCACGCTCGTGCCCTCATCAAGGCAGACCACACACTGCAAAAACATCTGCCCGGATTCACAGCTTTGCTGTACCGCTCAGTGGTCTTGCGTTTGCAGCGTAGGGACTAACAGCGTAGTGTGATTTGCTAATGTAGAACAGAATATGCAAATACACACATTTACATCCATAATTTCATGCGTGCGTATGGGTAGCACGCGCTTGCTTGCCAGGACATTGTCCGAGCGCAACCCTTTCGACTGAGTGTGCTTGCGTCCCCATGAATGAAGCCACATTCTCGTCCATCGCAGGGCTCAGGCATCAACGTACTCCTGGACCAAGGTAAGCAGCTGCCAGTACAAATGCTTGCTTTGATGAGCAGGGCAAAACACACGCCTGTCATCTTGAGTTGAAAGCACTTGAAAGCACTCTCCGCCGCTCGTACCTAACACTCCAAAATTGTCACAAATGATGTATGTCGGGGGAGTTTGCCGCTGGCTTTTGCCTGGGTGGTCCTGCGGGGCCATCTTCCACAGCTGGTTGTGAAGTTTGTGCTGGTAGGATTTTCGCTTTTTTCCGGCTTTACATGTATCTTTATCTCGCATCAGCCCCTGTATGGTAGCAGTTGCTCCTAAGCGCCGTTCGTCTTACGTAGGAAAACCTTCCAGCACCGCTATGAGAGCTGCTGGTAAGTGGAACCGAAACCAAAGACTTGGCCACGGCAACACGCACACAAGTCTTCTCGTAGCGATCATCGTTTGAGATCATATGTCACTTGAGGACTTGCAGTGACTTTGTAATATCTGCGTTGACAGTTGCCACACATTGTTTGCATCAACAGGTCTGCCGGAGTTGATTTCACAGCAGCAGCAGCTCAAAGTAAGAAGTCCGCTGAGACACTCTCAAACCGCAAGTCCTACACTCTCAACCCCATCCCCATACCCTACAGTAAATGGGCATGCTGTGAGGCTGACTGTTTCGATCCTCGTTCTCTGGGATGGTCAGCAGCTTGGACCTGGATGCCTGCCACGGTCATCAATTAAAGAAAGCTCCGACGAGCAACCTCCTCGGGTCTGGGGCACCCTGTGTTTGCCAGGTTTTCCTTGCGTTCCATCAACAGGTTTCGAAAAATCAAGAAGTCCTACTCTCGAAACGTGACAAGCTAGGAAGCAATGATCGCAGCCATTTATAGCCTATTGTGTCATTAGACAATGAGGTATCTCAAGAAGAGTTGGCTCTGGCTGTACCAAATTAGACGGTAATCAGGTATCTAGCACGAATCCAACCGACTCTGCAGCCATTTGAGAGTTCCGCCACTTGTGAAAGATCGCTGAGGAAGCAGCTACCTCCAAATTATTGAAAGTGTTCGAAAGGGATGATGGATGATTTAGGATCCCGTAGCAGAGTCAAGGGTTCTGTGGCCACATCTCAAACCAGGAGCATTGTTGGGGCGGCAGAGGATTTTATGGAAAGTCGTAAACGCTCATTAACTTCCAACTGCCCAACTCCCAGACCCTGTGGCGCAAACAGACACGGTTCGCTTCCAATATCGAGCTGTCTCTACAGATCCCGAACCCTTAAACGTTAAACCCAAAAATCCCAAACTCCGAAATGCTATACCCCGGAAAAGACGCGCAGCAGGCAGCACCCTCTGCTCCGAAATCGACCAAATCCAAATAATGAGCGGTATGCCAGACCTCAGTTTCAGGTTTGTGGTTTCGCTTCGAAGTCGTTTAGCTGTCGTGGATTTCCTTTCTGCCTGGATCGATCTACAACTGGCCACAGCAAAGCAGCAAGCTTCGTGACAGCAGTGTGCATCATCACAGAAGCCATCAAATGCGTTCAAGAAAGCTGGACACATCAACGTCTGAACTTCTTTGCCAACTGAGCGTGAACAATGCGTCTAGACAAGGATCTGAACCATCATGCGTGCCAGTCGGCTCTGGGAATCAAGAAAAGCAACTGGACAAGTAGTACATTACTGAATACCCAGTCTTCCACGACGCGACTTGCGTGGCAGCAGCAGCCTCATCTCATGCCAAAGGACTTCGCGATTGCATCTAGGATCGCATAGCCCAGGACTTCCATCCTTCGTAGGGTGCTGAGCCAGGCGATTTTGGGGCCTTCGCATTAGGATCTGAATCTACTCAGTTTAAATTTCCCGGTCTGCTTCCTAAAAGATGTCTAAACCCGGATCCAGTCACTGAAAAAGCCACAACCTTGTAGATTCACATGCATTCAGAGCATGGCTGAAGCAAGAAGTTTAAGGCTTTGCTTCGTGCTGGAAAAAATGATTCTTTGATGCAACCTATGGCACTAAAATCCTTCCATGCCGCATACTGCGCGTTTTTGAAGGAATTAGCGTGTTTTGAGGGAGCTCCCGTGCGCCATCTAGGGCATTCATACAACGATTCATGCATATGCACCTCTTGGCCGCACGTCTTCGATGGCTTGACTGGATTGGCCAACAAACTTATGCGCAGGGTACTGCCCTCTAGGGCCTTAAAGTCCTTGAACCCCCCCAACTTGCAAGACCGACCTGCAACGATATGCAACATAGTTTAGAGCCTGCAGAATTCCAGACCATAGAGTGCTTCCTGACTTGCACCTTCTCTCAAATATGCTAGCGCTGCTTACCCCAGCCCCTGAGTCTCAGCACCTGGCAGATTCCTTGATGGTGGCCCTTCATTCTGCGTGGGACATCTGTCTTTTGAGGTCAGTTTTGTGATGAAGGAACGATTGCTGGCTCTGGGGCTTTTGGAAGTTTACGTCGCTGGCCCGTTCGCAAGGGGGCGACAATCAGGAGCTGTTCTGCACGGGGCTAAGATGATAAAAGTAGTTATACATCAAAACGTCCAGGGTCCGAGCTTGGATATTTGGGCAAGGAAGCATCCCCTGAAGTACACCAGTATCTACCAATGCTGAACTGACCCTTGTCAAAAAGGGCTCTGCAGCAGAGCCGGCAGTTGTGAGACAAACCAAGACGTGACGTAAATCCCAAATAGAAGCTCCCTGCATAGCATATCTGTAGTATAGGCTCTGGAAGAAGCTCCAGTGGATAACATCTATTCCGCCGTGCAGCTCTTGGGAGATGGAATTCGTCATCTCGGCCAGCGTAAAAACCACAGGATAAAGACACCAAACTTCCTGGATTGGTGTCAAGGTTTAGCATCTTGGCTTTGCTCTTCAGGTTTCGGTTTGAGGCATAGCGCGTGGGTTTAGGCTTTGTTCGCTGGAAAGTTGATGCTGGGATATCTGGCATCAGGTTTCTAGGTGAGTTGACGGGTGAAGGCCAAGGTCTGAAGCTGTCACCACTCTAACTGCCGGTGACTCCTATGCCCACCGACAAGCCACTTTTGTCCCGCCCCTCCACCCGCCCCACCGGGTATGATATTCGTTGAAGTGCCAATCTTCTCGGTCCTGACAAACTGTAAGTCAGTAGTTGTAGTTTGCTGTGAGCCCTAGAAGCGGCCAAGCTGTGCAATCCTTTCTTGGTACGCTGCACACCCCGACGTTGCAAAATCCCAGGAAGTAGTCAAATGTGTGCTGCTAGTACTTCGTCAGACAAGCCTCCAGACTTATGAAGGGCCTGGATGAGAATTTAGAACATCCACAGTCTTGCTGGCGATGGAGATGGACTCTCACTTCCATGCGGATTCGCCGTGCGAAAAATGTTCAGGCATCAAGCAGCCTACGGTGTTTCCCGGGCGTGCAAACAAGGCGACAAGCCCCGGAAAAGGGACCCATAAGCAATTTTCAAAAACGAGCACTTGTGAACATCAAAAGCTGAAGCGACACGTCAAGCGCTAGCAGTAATTTGGTTTGCCGAAGATCCCCGCAACAACCCGGAGAAGTTCAACAACAATCCGCATGGTTGCAAGGAACCTACCTAAGCCATAGACCCTGATCCCAGTAGGGCCAGCAGCGATCGTTCGCGAGGCTACGAACTTGAACTTCTTCTGCTCGGCACCGCCTCCGAGTAGAGTTTTGGGCTAAATCATTGTCGTTGATATTCTTTTCTTCTTGCTGCTGGGGACGACGTCGACTAGCACAATAGCCTGAAGCCATGAGCCCCAAACCCAACACTGAGCCCAAGGCCCTGAGCCTGAAAACCCCAAGCCTTCCACCCTTCATCCCTGGCCTAGCTCCTCGGCTGCGCGCTGAAGGACTGTGAAAAGAAACGTCACCTTGTATGAGTTTGTGGGTAAGAAGACTTTGCGCGATAGATTTCCCATGCTGCTCATACGTCGTAAGTACCAACCACTATCAACATCTTCTCGTCAAGCATGCCGATTCCAAGAGACTTACCTAGGATGTTTGAAGAGGATTCTGCTCTTGTTATGGTTCTCCTTGCATCCTCAAAGGCTTTTTTTGGCTGCCTCGCTGAAGGGCGACGTGCAGACACGAATTGAAGACGAGTTACCCCAATCAACATTCTTGCTCTCTGGAGATCCGCAGGAGTCCTTTTAATGTCTGCTCATATTTGGTCGTATGCCTGCAGAGTTCTTGACCATCCATGATTGTCCTCGTCTATGCAACACCTTAATGCCTTTCCCCTGATAATATTAAACGACGCCCCCTGCCCCTGTAGAAACGCCAGCTCGCATTTTATATTATGGACTGGTATTCATCATAGGGCCCGAATATTAGGGGGTGTAATTAAAACTGCATAAGTATATATATGTATACCATATAGCTATATCTATATATATATATATATATGTTTTGATCAGGCTTTAGTGGGGACTACTCCGAACTAGGCCTTGATAAGGGACTATTCCAAACTAGAATGCTATCAAAGACTTTTCCAAATTAGGGCTCCATTAGTCCATTAGGGACTAATTCACAGTGGTAAGGGCTGCGCCATTGCCCCAAAGAAGAGCATGCCCAAGCTGAAGTACTGCCACTTCCCTGGTGGTCGGAGGGGAGGTTTCTTTCTCTTCACAGGTTGCCGCCTTCCCTTTCACACGAGCAAGCCTTGCACATAAATACAAGCAAGATGGACAAGGAAGATACGTGGTTGGGCTGTCTTATCGGATCTTCAGAGTTGCTGCGAACTGGGACCAGCAGCGTGGTACTCTGCCTTCCGTATGCTGCTGTGGTTGACTTTGTGATTATAAATTGTGCGAAAGCCCGACGGTGACCTAGAACTGTGTCATAATTCAGAAGTCAAGCCGTACGCTGACAACCATATTAATATGAGCATCGATGCTAATAATTCCTTTAACTCCTGCTTGGAAGTTGACTCGCGCCGTCCTGAAAAAGACAGGCTGTGAAGGCGAGCTCAGCCCCCGAATCCTAAGCCCGACCCCTATACAAACAGATGCAAGTCTGTCGTTTCGTTCCTCTCCCTGGGTGATATCTCCCCGCTGTGGTGATTCTAGTTACATGTCTGGCGGCAAAATGTGAACCCTGAAGCAGGAAATGGCCAAAGCCAGTCCTCGGTCTGGAGTGCTCAGCGCTGCCATCAAGGCAAACCTGAGGAGCCCACTGGCTTAAATTTTGTGATTTCACGCCTCAAAGCTTTCTCTTTTCTCGGGCCGGGAATCGGTTCCTGTGAGCCGCTGCACGTATTGCTCTCTGTATGACGACGACTGTTGAGACCTGCGTGTCTTTGCCCTGACTCCTGTTACGAATCGCCGCGTTGACTGCTTGGGCAGAAATCTGAACCACGCATTTTCACTGGGCTGCAAGACAGATCCTCGCCGAGCCCACCTTTGCATGCCAACAGAATCAAGATCAAAACGGACGGACATTCCTGAACGAATCAGAACATGATTTTCGTGTTTACCGCCAAGCCTTCCGGCTTCAAAAGCTTGCCTCTGCGCTGAAAAATCTTTCAAAGCCAGGTTGCTCTTCGTGCGCATGATGGCTCTGACGACAAATCCAAGGAATTCAGAGTTCAAAACAACATGTAAGAGGACATAGAAAGCGTGACAACAGAGGATCTCATCAATTGCCGTTGAACTGCTAAGGGCCCTGTCCTCCCAGCTCCGCCAAACAAGAGGAAAAAGGGCCTTTCTTTGGGATGTCCCCTTGTCACCCTGAGCCTTTATCTTGGTCTGGAACCGCGCCTCCCCTCACTGGAGGGCCTTGCAACAAGCGTTCCTGATACGGCCCTTGTGGTGGGCTGCTAGAAGCACCAGAACCTTCATGAAGCCCTGGTCATACCGTAATTCAGTGAATCGTAGTCGTGGTGGGATACCCATGATTCAAGTTGTGTCGAAGCTGCAGCTCACCCGCTACGTCGATGCCCATCAGAACGGCAGTTGCCTTCATGTCAGCACCTTTGCATAGTCAGGATGTCTTGGAACCGTATTTGGGTCAGAGACGGTGTACATCAGGAATCTATCAAGCCCGGGGGCAGCCCCAGAATCGCACATACAATTGGGATGTGTCAAAATTCAGAATTTCTCTGGGTCGGGTGGCTTTGGGGCTACTGAGATTTCAATGGGTTTCCCGAATGCAAGATTTGGGGTTGTGAAAAACACAGATGTCCCCACTGTTACTGTTGAGGCACAGGCCAATCAACATGCCCCTGTGATCGGGTGTAAAGGGTCCTAAATGAAATCCTCCCCCCCCGAAGCTAGCAGCCTGCTGAACATCTGCTACGCATCTCCAAGCCCCTGAGCATCCAAATCACTAGAAGCAGGTCCCGCAATCTAAGTGACCCTGGACGTACACGCTACATCTGCAACCTCCCAACACGAGACACCAACAACTCTCATCCTGCAACAATGCTCAGGTAACACCCTGCAACAAGATGCTTTCTTGCCAGACATGCGCGCAGCAGGATCGCCTTCTCAACTGGAAATCCTCAACCTAGCGGCCACAATGGCCTGCGATGTCACAATAATTCGTAGCCCCAAAGTCTATCCTCAAAACCCTGGAGTGAGAACCTGCTTCAGGCCCTTTTTTCCATGAAATCCCCGGTCCCAAGGGAGGAGGGCTTCCCAGGCCTCTCATCAAGGCCAAGTCAAGCAGCCTTGTCCAAAGGCTTCGGGTTTTACAGCTGACAGCTACAATATCACCCTTTTCATCACTTGTCGAGTTCTGTATTTGAGAAGCATATGCTGTTCCGACCAAACCTTTGCGTTGGGTCGTCAAGCTAGAAAGGCGGGAGGACGAGAGGGTGGAGGGTAGGCTGGGCGGGGGGCCGAGTGTGGAGCGGAGGGTGAAAGGTCAGGGGGTGGGAGGGTGACAGCTGAAGGTGGGATGAACATTAGACAAGTCATGCTGGCTTGACGGTTACAATGTTCACCAACCACTAACATTAAAGAGGGTCGAAGCAACAAGTCTGAGTGGATTCTTGCTACGACTTCTGAGACTTCAGGATCCGAAAGGAAACAGGCTTCTCAAACATGAGGCCCCCGTGAAGCCAGCTTGCAGGTTGACTTTCTTCTGTGTTGTCCGTGCAATTTTGCGAGGGCACGAGGGTCCAGTATGGAGAAGTCCTTTGCAAACCCTGAGTAAGTGCACTACCCAGAACCAAGGTCTGCCTTGACATATTTCATCAATGTATCTGTATCTGGCACATGCATGTCCAAGCCTGACTCACCTCAGCGTTCGACACCCTCACGCCCTTCGCTTTGCCCGCTCAAACCACCCAACCCTTTACTCCGGCAACCTTTCACCCGAAAAAAATTCTTTCAATGCAGGATGCAGTAAGGACGTTGAGAAGCACCAGTCTATGTAGCGCAGGCAGAAAATTGGCCTTCCGCACGGAAACTTATGAAAGTCTGACGGGGAATCGTGCGGGGATTGCGAGGCTAGGCTTTTTTTGTCTCAGAATGATTGGCTAACATGGTTGGGAGGTCTGGCCATGGCAAAGGGTTTCCTTCATTTGGAGTGGAACAGAAAGCAGGCTGCTGGGTCAGCTGTCCGCAGGCCGGACCTGGAGCCTGAACTAAGGGCTGTGGGCCTGGCTGGGGCATTAGGTTTTTTTGATGGCTTTCTAGGTTTGCAGGCTGGTGCCGCATGAGGGCAAGAATCGTCTTTTTCTTGGAGCCTCTTCTAAATCTTATCGACTTGGACCTGCTATTTTTTTGCGGGTGAAGCTTTAAGCTAGCAGCTGTTGTAATGGATAGTTGGGGGAGACGTGATCAGGCGGCGTCCAAGAATTATTGGTCATCACGATCGCGTACAAAACATGCCTCGCATATAATTAGCATGTCTGAAGCCACCAATCCAAAGACAAAACACACAGCCAGAACAAAAAAAGAAGCCAACCCGACTACTCGAACAGCCAACGCAGCCAACCATCAGAAAGGGACCTGTCACTACCGGACAGCAGCCAATATGAATACGCAGAAGAACGTACCCCGCGCCGCGCGCAGCTATGACTGACAAAGCTGCACCATCCCACACAAACAGTAGTCAACACGACCGTGACAAGGACAGAGGGCCCCTCAAACCCTTGGACTGCTGGGGCGTACGCTGGACTCATGGGCCATACTTTGCACGAATGGGGCGAGCCTAAAAAAAGCACCGACCGAACACAGCAAGAAGAAGAAAACATCAGGGGGCCACGATGTTCCAACCTTTAGCTAGATAGCCAGTTTCGAGCAGGTCGCAGCTAGGAGAGCACCACGCCATCTTCGCAATCGAGTAGGAGTAGTAGTGGTGGTAGTAGTAGTAGTAGTAGTAGGGCCCGCCGCGTAAAAAGGGCGGTGGTTTTTGAGACGTTCATGTTCGAAAGCCTGCGATACCTTCAGCATCCATGTCCAAGCCATAGTAATGTTCATGTTCGAGAGCCTACCATATCTAGGGCATCCATGCCCAAACAGTAATACTGTACGTGTTCCTTCATGAGCACGAAGTCCTGTAAATTACAATACTTTCCTGTCTTCCTCTCAATTGTCGAGGCCCAAAATGCCAAAAACTCTTGAAGCTTCGAGAGGCTACGATA